AGGTAGGTAGGTAGGTGGGTAGGTGTGTGCATATATGTGTGTGTATGTATAATGTATATATGATGTTTGTAGCAGCACCACGAACAGCACCAGCCTAAGAACGAAGTTAACAACCAGGCTGGCAGCCATACAGCCGGCATTCAGGAGTTCATAATGGTGATCATGGCGGTCTGTTCGCTGCTTATGATGACGCCGCCAAATGTTGCAGACGTCTGCTGGATGATAATGTAGTGTTGGTGAGGACGCGGATGATGATGAAGGTGGTGTTCAGCCTGGTGGTGTTACTGATGATGACAGCTGTTAGTGACCCCGGTGAGTTAAATTGAGCTTATATGGCTTTGTTGATGATGACGATGTTGTTGATGGTCATGAAGCATGACCATCATACTGTGGAGTTCGCTTCGAATGATGACGAGGACGAAGACCGGATGCCGCACGTTACAAATCACCGTTTCCTTGTTACTTGTATTTTGGCCTTCCAGTTTCATCATCATCGTTCTCGTCTCCGACCTCGGGATCATTGCCATTTTCTTAGTCGTTGTATGGATTGGAGAGCATCAGTTCTCCACAAGCCCGCACCATCCTTAGCCTTGGGTTTCGGAGGCTGCAGACCAATTACCGAAGCGAAGTGCCTGGGTTCAAGCACGATCTGTTCTTCCGTGAAATGCAACAATCCGATCTCTGCTCTGAGCCTTGAGCCTTGAACCTTTACAGCACCGGAAGGACGGAGTTTGCAGCGCTGGGACTTCCTCCAGAGGCGTGTGTATGCTTGTTTCTTGATCACGGAAACGATGAAGCCCGAAGTTCTTCTCGGAGAGTTCAGAGCTGGCTTTGGGCTGAGATGTTGCGGACACGGTGCCGACGGTGCCCAGACTCCGAAGCTCTATGGTGCACCAGTGCGATTCATTGAGAAATCTGGGCTTATGTACATGGGTGTTGCCCAACCCTGGTGCCTCCCACTAGTTCTCGGACAGTGCCCTTGTTCTGTTGTCCAGGCTTGCAAAGACTGCACCCGAGAGGCAATGCGGCAGTTGGAGCGGTGCAGATGCTGCTGGCATATGTTTTGCTTGCCCATCATCCCTTGCACTACGGCTAGATGAGCTCGTACGGGGCAGCATTCTTTCGGCAGCCAAGGCTGCTTCGGCATGTTGAGTTTCGAGGGGCCCCTTGCATTCCTGCAGTTCTGTAGGAGCCGCGGCACTGCTGCTAGGTTAAGTACACTTTCCCTCTTCCACAAGCGCATCCATTTGAACAGCACGTGCGCATTGCTCCAGGAATCAGGAGTGCAATGTTTATGTTCCTGCTGATGATTGTGACACCGCGCATCATGATATCGTCGGCGCAGCAGCTCTTCGCGGTTGTTGTTGCTGCTGTCCTGATGAAAATGTCCATGTAAGGTTAAAGGGTGCGGCTCAGACAATGTCATGAACTTTTGCAGCTGGCGGCTATGATGATAATGAGGCACATGTTGTGAGTTCCACGGTGCTGATCGGGAACATGATGTAGACGAGAATGATGGTGGTGTGTCATGGTATCTAGTATTGGCCATGACGAACACGACGATTGGTGATGATGACGATGAAGATGTTGAGGCTGTGGAATGATATGCTGATGGCTGATGGCTGTTATGCTGATGATAGTCAATATACGGGAGTAGGGCTGACGTTGCCCACGATGGTGCCGATACTGCGTTGTGCTAACATGTGGACGCCGGGTGTGGAAGTCGCTTGACTTTCCCGGACTTGAACCAGGTTTGAGTTGACCATGCTGATGCATGGCAAATGCCGAAGATAGGTGGTGCGGAACGACTCCAATCCTAGGCGGTTGTCGTCTTCGAGTACAGAACAACCTCGCACGCCCAGCTCCCACGGCTCATAGGTTATTATAGGACTGTCTGATACAACAGGAACTGCTGCAACGCCTTCGAGAGGCAGGGTTGGCTGCCTGGTGAGGTTGGTTGACAACCTACTGTAGTTGGTTCGGTTTAGTGGGCGAGGAGCTGTTTACCGATTCGATTTGCGTCCGAACGGCACCGACATGACTAGCAGTGAATCAGGTCTGTATGTGGAGTCGACGGCTTTCGGAGTGTTAGTTCGAGGCATTCTGAGCGTAAGTCACGGGGTCTCATTGCTTGTGCTTGCTTTTTTGCGCTCTGAACCGTAAAGCCGTGGCAAAGTCCAGTGGTGTAGCGGTCGATGCCGTTTGCCAGCTTGCAGTCTTCAGTTGCATATGATTCTGAGTCCAGCTGCACAGCACTGAGGCCGCATTTGCAAAACCCCGCGGCCCACCAACAAGTAGCAGGCAGACATGCACGAAGGCCCCAAGCCCTATGCTTTACCCTCCAATCTGGGCAATTTGTCGTGTCCGCAGTCGTCTCCGCTGGCCCTTTGCCGTTTGCGTAGTCGCATTGCTCGCTTAGAGCTGAAGGTCACCAGGCCGGCAGTGGACTGTTCGCTTGGCGATAAGGTGGTGTTTACACTCCTATGTCCACAGTGCTCCAGGTTATCAGTGTAAGCCCATGGGAGTGACGATGATGATGACGATCATGCAGGTGATGCATGTGGGGCTGTCGCTTAAGCGGTGGTGGTGGCCCTGGTTGTGATGACGATGGGATGTATTTGTTAGTGTGAGCTAATGATGCATTTTGATCTCCTTGTTCTTATCCGTTACGACGACTGTGAAAGTTCCGGAGCCTATACAACCGTCGTTATGGGAAATATGCCTTCGACTACACGGTCGACGCTGGTGGTGATGATTATGATGCTGCTGCTGCTGCTGCTGCTGCTGCTGCTCGTGGTGGTGGTGGCGACGAGCTTAGCAGACCATCTTGATCACAGACCTAGCAGGTATATAGCGTATATGTAGATGTGCATAGAACGCCCTTGACTTGATGGGCTTGTTGCTCGGGGCTGCACTGTTGCCGGTGTGCCCCAGTTATGAGATGGTGGCCGGTGATTCTCTGAGCTGAATTCCGGCGGTTTCCAGCTGTAGCGGCTGTAGAACGGTTCATTACTCGCAGGTTGGGCATCGAAGGCATATGCATGCCATGGTCCTGACAAATCGTCTATTGAACCTGTGTTTTCTGGCAGGCCTTGACAGGATTGGGGTTGCGGAAGGTCTTAAGGTGCCATGGTGTTCGTGTGCGGGGAGGGCAGTGTTCTTGTCGGCCAGTGTCTGTTTTGCCTCCGCGCACCAGGGTCCAGGAATGTACTTAGACCGTATTAACGGGCACCCTCCCGAGCACCTTCGTTGTCGGGGCACGGGCGTTGCTTTGTGCTCCATGTTTGATGCTACTTGAGGATGGGCGCCGACGGAGATCTGAAGACTCCTGTCCCACCGAGGGCCGCGCTCTTACGCACATTGGGGCTCAAGGCTCAGTCTATAGGGTTTAGGGGTTTAGGGTTTTACCATATACAGTATCAGTATGTATTATCATTTATGCATGAGCTGAGTTCAACGTTCGCAGGAACCATGAGCTTGCGAATCTTTGCCTGCCCGCCCGAAGTGCAGCCAGTCCATCGACGGCCACATTGCAGGAGAAGCTATGGCTTACTGAAAAGCTGACATTGAAACCTCAGAAGCCCCCAGAAAGCCACAGGAACCAAATCCTGATGCGCTTTCAGAAAAGCTTTTCAGAGACGCCTTCACGCCGAAGGCTTGCGACATCTGCCAGAACTGTCCATAGTGGCTCCGGCTCCATCACGATCTGGAGTTGTTCCACTGAAATCACCAACTGCAGCATCACCACGAAGTTTCGCAATGACGCAAACTGAACAGAAAGTAGGCCTGCCCAACACTGTGTCCCACAAAGCCGCGCCTGCCGGATCAATTGTGATGAGCGGGTGCGCGGCAGGATCGGCGTACATGTTCGGGAAGGGTCTGAAACGGGCATGTGTTAAGAAAAGGATTTGGGGTTCGGGTGCTCTGATCTTTGCTTGGGCATATATATATATTATATATATATATATAACCAAGATAACAGACATATATATTTTCACACATATATGTTTGTATATATATATACCTATGTATTTATTTTTGGTCCGGACGTACAAGAGTTTGGAGTGAACATGCGTTGTTTTAGGCCCAGCGAAACGTACAGCTGAGAGGGGCCTTTATGTGATTGATGTGAAGCATGTTGCCGAAAGGTTTGGCTTCGTGGCTTTGCGCCGAGGTAAGCGGCTGTATCTCGCCTGTGGGCAACGAGAGTTTGCTTCGCCGCCCGTGTATTTCAATCCTGAAGCCTTGTCTCTCTAAGTTCATGGTGCTCATGGCCGACTGGTGCAACGTGTGGGCCCGACACCCAGCCGAGCTTGTGCTTTCACTCGTGCAAACAAGCGCTTAGGTTGTGGGTTTACGGTTGCATTGCCTGAATTTCGTTTGCAACTGAGGCAGGAATCACCTTGGTCATCTCGTTCTCCCTCATTACAGGCCAACCTCTGTGCATCCTCCCTTCCAGCAGATCAGATGGCCCTCGGAGATTTTCCTGGCAGAAGGTGCGTTTACGTTCAAGTGGTTCGAGATGACCGGCACCGTCCACACAGTCATGCAGGCTCATGCGTGAAGTTTGTTCCAGTAGTACTCTTGTTTCTGAAATTTGAGCCCGGAGGTGACAATGTGTGCCGAGGGTGTCCTTTGGGCCGTGGCTGCCGGATTCTTGACGAAGGCACAGAGCATGCCACGAGAGCTGTGCTTCGGTTTCCGCACATTCATGTAAGCACACGGCTCAACTGCAGAAGGGATGCACCAACCGATCCTGCAAGTGGCGCTCTTTCGCTTGCCCACCTGCGCACGACGCACAGCAGCATGGAGGTAACAGCATCGCCCACCGTGAGCCGTGAGCTTAATCCCCGTGAATGTGTTGTTTCAAACATGTATCACGGCGGATAAACCGAGACTGACGCAGATCAACATGATTGTGAACAATGCCGCAGTGGCTGTTGGTCAGACGAATCTTGACCGAATTCATCGCAGGCCACGATACGGCCATGTCGCAAGGACGCGGAAGAGAGCAAAGGAGTCAGTCAGTCTTCCGCTTCTTTAGTGAGCTTTGCGCTCCCATTGCAGAACTGCCGTGACACCTTTGCATCTAGTGTTGATGTGATGGTTTGGCGCAAGCTTTAAGATGGCTTCCATGAGATCAAGAGGAAGCACAACTCAGTCCAGTATCCGTGACGTTCCGCACGAAGTTTACCGAGGATAATCTGCTTCGGCGGCATTTTCTTTGCCGTTTCCGGCCTTTACGCGTCTTGACTGGGAACACCTTCACACATGCACCCCGAAATCAAGTGGAAGTCAGAGATTGTTTGAACTTCGAACAAACTGCAAGGCGAGATCGGATGCGGGCGAGATTGCCGAATAGCCCTTTTCATATTGAATAGGCAGAGAATGGGGGCGCTCTGCGTCGGAACAAACTTTTCCATTAATGCTCTTTACTGCTGTAAGGTCTGCATCAGAGTACAACGATTCCGGCTATTGCATGTGTGCGCCAGATTCGGTAGTTCATTGTCTTGCACAGTGGGTACCGTTTGCACTTTGATTGGGCAAGTTGACGAAACGGCTGGTGTAAGATCCACGAACCATGAAGGTTTCGTTTTGTGCTTTGCGAAGCCAGCTCTGCTTGGTGTGGAAGTGGAAGTCTCGTCTGCCTACTTCAACCTCAGTAAGGATGGTATCCCGGGGAAAATCATCAGCATCCACTATGTCCTGGCGCCTGACACTCACGCGCCCCTTGCCAGCAGCTTCAAGGACTCAGGGCTCAGGGTGTACAGAGAGACTGAGGTGGCCTTAGGTCTGATGCCTCCTTGAAAGCCACCCCGTCACCACCTGCCAGTGCCAGGCTTTTTGCTGATGCTTGCCCGTACTATGGCATCACATGCGTCTCAACTGCATGTATATGTGAAGGGCCGCTTTCGGTGATGTTGCTTGGTCCCAGTTGCTTGCGTTATAGTGCACGCTGCTGTGGTATAGCAAGAAGAGGCCAGACCACGTGAAACGTGTCGAGCCATACAATCCACTGTGATAATATCGTGCATGCTTGTTTGTGCAATGTCACCTTGCGGAAGCGTGTTGTCAAGCTATATACAGTCCACTACTGTGATAACATCTTGCATTAGCTTGCATTCTTTGTTTGTGCAGCGTCACACTGGGATTTCGCGTTTTCGTGCCATGACGGCTACCAGTCATTAATGTATTTGTGAATGATCCGATTGTTTCACGTGGAATCGAGCGTCTACATGGAGACAGGCCGCTTTTGATGTGTTGTGATGCCACTGATCTGTGTCTGGAGTTGTTGCCTGTGGAATCGAGCATGTACATGGGAAATGACTGGTTTTAATTGTGATGACACGGATGTGTGCCTCGAACGGGTGCTTGTCCATTTCGGTGCTAATCACGTGGCACTGTTCATGTTAGGACCTGCTCATCCAAGCCAGTCTCGCTTACACTGTTTGGCGCTGAGTACTCCCACGCACACACACACACTCTCTCTCTCTCTCTCTCCCTCACTCTCTCTCATAGGACATATACAGAGACACGCCTACTGAAATTAGAAGGCCTCGACTTTGCAGTTGCAGGATCGAAAACGGATCCGTCTAGCCCTCTACTCTTTGGCTCGGTCAAAGTCTCCCTGTGTTGCCTATCACCGCGTGAAGTCCAACCATCAACCAGCAGGCCTGTGCAATCTTGTGCGCTCCACGGCATGGCAATGCTTGCAACACAACTGGACTTCGTCCGGATATGTGCTGCACGCTTTTGCTAACTGTACTTCGTCATCCATTGTGGTGCTGGTTGTGATGTCGATGGCGGTGGCAGTCGTGGTGGTCGTCGGCGGCGTCGTCGTGGTCGTCCCCATCGTTGTTGGTTTTTGCAGTTCCGCAAAGCTCGGTATTTGCAGCGTTTTCTTGCTTTCGGGTGGTGAACACATCGAAATTTGCGGTGTTTCATCTGTTTGGCAGCCTTTGTACGGGAGTGCGAGTTGGCCAGGACTGTGGAGGGGGGGGGTGGGTGGGTGGATCGTGGTGGGGTTGGGGGGACGGGGATAACTCCATCATTGAACTTCGTTGGAAAGACCTCATTCACTCTCTGCGGTGTTTCCTTGCCTTGGCATGTCTTCCACATCGACATACGTTATTTGCACAAAAGTACAGTGTACTTGCACTACCATTTTGCGCGTATGCCTCGTGTTGGAGACACTATTCATTATAGTCACTATAGTGGCTTGTTCTACTGTACTCTGCCGTTGTCGTCAAGCTCCCGGAATTTTAGATCAATTACTACCGGTATAGAAGGTTTATGGAATTTGTGACTCTTTACTGAGTCTATTCCTGAGGTTCCCTATTGCGAGTATGGTATAACCGCCAGCAACATGGAAGCACGAGCCTTATTCTAACAGGTCAGGGCCCTATATTAGACCCTTCATATGCCTACCGAATCCAAGGATACCCGAGACTCTAAAAGTAAATTTATAATGCCTGAAGCATTCGAAGCAGATGGCCGAAGCACTCAAAGCCCGCATTCTTGTAGAATATATAGTACCCGGAAACGTGTGTACAAAAGCGAAAACCCCGTAACGCGATGTGCTGTGATTTAAAGCATTTTTCAATAATTTGGCTACAGATTAAAGAACTGTCCTTGTTGTACAAGGCCATATCTTGTGTCTTTGAAACATGAAAAGCACAAAAAGCCGCATAAAAGCCGACGCAGTTGCGAAGATTTTCAAATCCAGACGCAGAAAATACCGATGCCACCGAGGTTTTCCGCCACGGAAGTGTATGAAATGCAGTCGGCATGTGCGTGCCGGAGCATTGTTGATTTGGCTACAGATTAAAGAACTGTCCTTGTTGTACAAGGCCATATCTTGTGTCTTTGAAACATGAAAAGCACAAAAAGCCGCGTAAAAGCCGACGCAGTTGCGAAGATTNNTGTTGCTGTTGTTGTTGTTGTGGCAGGAGTCGAAGGAGTAGTAGTACTGGAGCTATGATTCTTTGAGGGCGTGTGTGGGGGCGTTTCCGTGCGGCAATCAGTCAGACAGTCAGAGGCCTAGATGAGCACGCTTGGTTGTGTTTACTTGGCTGTCAGCTCCGCATTTCCCTGGGTGCCCGACCGTTGGTCTGTTTTCTGTCTGCCCGCCGGCTGTCTGAGGCTAACTGTCAGGCTGGCTGACGCTTAAAACCTTAATTATACCCGGCATTGGTTTGTGATCGGGTTTTTGCGGACTAGGGGATACGAAGTTCCTTTTCACTCC